TTGTTGCTCAGCTCTCTCCCAGGGATTCCTCCTCTGCTGGCTGCGTGGTCAAAGCACTGTCTCAGGTGAACGTGGTCCAGCTCATGGAATGGGGAGCTTACCCAATGTCTTCAGGCTCTCAAGGCGTTACTTGGCTCTCATTCCCCTGTGGCCACATCTGGAAGCCAGGGCACCTGGGAAATGGGGTGTCCAGATGGGAGGCTCTCATTCAACTAGGAGAGAAGGGATTTTATCGAACCACTGAAAGTCCTAAGCCAGGGCTCAGACCCACACCTGCGCCACCCTTTCCCTCTTCCCTCTCAAAGGAGGGGAAATAGAGACCGAGGTCCAGAAAGCAATGGGATCTCCATGAGGTCTGTGTGATCCCCAGTGGCTATCCCTCCATGAGCAGCAGTCACAGGACAGTGACTTGGAGCCCTTGCTCTGGAGAGGATACCCTCCTGTCCATCTTCTTCACAAAGATGTGAGGTGAGCTTCTGCTCCCACTGCCCACCCACTCCTTTCACATGGTCTTGGTCCACTCTCCACCACCTGTTCCCCGTCACTACGTGTGACTGCAAATGTGGGGGTGCAGTAGGAATGGAAGGCAAGACCTGGGCCAGGAGGCCATGCTGTGCAGGCAGCTCAGGCACATCCAGCTGTTAAAGGCGTGACCTGAAATGGGGAAGCTCTCTGAGCCGCAACTGACTCTTTTAGAAATAAGAATAAGAAGCTTACTTGTCAAGGTTGTTGAGAGCATCACACAGGATACACCTGTCTATAATGTCTGTACCCGGCATAGAGGAGGCCTTTAAGACATGGTGATTTTACTTGGCTCCAGCACAGCAGACCTGGCCCCGTAGCCAGGCCTCACCCACCATTTGCATGGCATCTCCTCCCTCCCCTGCCTGACCAGTGTACCACTCCCCCCCTCTTCTTTACCTCCCAGCCTCACCCCCTTCCCACCTGAACCTTGGTCCATGCTTTCCACCTCCAGCAAGTCTTGCCTGATGAAAACGTTCCCACTCAGCCCCTTCCCAACCCCGGCCCTCACTCCCCACCACCCTCTGCTGACTGCTCCACTGTCCTGGTTTCCACCTTTCCACCACTTTCCATGTGTCCTGCCTCTACCTCCAGGTCACTCCCCCGCCACCACCAAACTTCAGGAAGTGTGCAGCAATGTTAGGGGGTTCAGACTGCTCATCGGGCAGATCAGAGTTCAGATTCCAACTTTGCCAATTTCTGACTATGACTTCAGCAAAGTCACGTCTCTTTGGGTCCCTCTGGAGGGGTTTGGGAATATGGGGGCTGGTACATAGCTCTCGGGGATTTAGGAAATGTCAGTCTCCTCTGCTATCCATCACATCCCCCAGCCCACACTCCAGGGACAGACTCTCTGCCAAAGGGAGGTATTAGACCAAGAAAGTAATTCCCCCACCAAGCCCCTCTCAGGGTTCGGGCCAGGGGAGGGTAGAAGGGACTTCCCCTTGAAATCTGTGGGCACTGAACAGAGCCGCCAACCCAAGAGCCACAGCAGAGGCCAAGAAAGAACTCAGGTATCCAGCCTCCACGGTCTCACTACTCTCACCACATACACAAGCCTACCCTCACCACATACACCCCAGTTGTTAGACACATTCAGGGATGGGGGTGAGTGGGTTGATCTGATCAGGGTCTTAGAGAATCCATGGAGCTCTTAACCTCTAAGAGGTTCCATGCCTCTATCTCCAACCTTCCCGGATCAGAAAAGCAACATCAATAACAAATGCTTTTACTGTGCTTCCCGCTCCACTGACATCGTTCTAGACACTTCACACACACGCACTCAGTCTGTACAACAGCCTACGGGCTGGGACCATTAATTCCGTTTTGCAGATGAGGAAACTGTCCTCTGGAGAGGTGAAGTAACTTGCCTAAGGTTACACAGCTAGCCTAAGGCAGGGCTGAGATTCAAAACCAGACAGTGGGACTCCAGAAACCATGTTCTTAACCGCTCTGCTGGAATAAGGGAATTCACTTGTAGTTTCTATGTGCCAAGTACTGTGGAAAACATAGCACCTGTATTTCATTTACTCCAAAACAACGCCCTGAGATGGCTACTGTAAATATTATTCTCGTTTTACATATCAAGAAAGTTAAGATCGAAAAAAGTTTTAGGCAACTCACCTAAAGTCCCACAGCTAGATAGCTTCAGAACCCCTACCTGTTTTGCCTCACATCTCCCACCCTCGCCCCCAGCTCCTCCTTCTTTAGATGGGTTTTAGCAGCTTCCTTCACAAATCTGCTTTACCCCCACAACCCACAACCACTCCCATTCACTTCTGTCCCTTTCCCTCCCCACCTCTCCCTGCTATGGCCCCACAGTCCCTGCCTCTCCCCCACTAAGACCGACAAACCTTTCCGTCCCTCTCCCTCAGCTCTCCTCAGTTCCTCTGCCCTCTCCCACAGTTCCCACTGAATCAGATAAATTTCACCAGAAAAAAAAAAAAGACCATCGGACATTCCCCCATCAGGCCCCCACTGCGCCTGGATGTGGAGCCCCCAGAGAAGGCACCTCAGTGGCTCTGTTGGAGAGTCAGAAATAAAACCCTCATTCTCCTCCCCCGCCCCCATTTCCCATCACTCATCTGGGAATCCAGGGCGAAGAAGGGAGCTAAAGTGCAGAGCGTTCATTTAATATTAACAAATTGAAATGAATTCTTTTAATGCCAATTAACTTGGAGCGGCCCCTTATTAATAGTAATTTAGATTCATACTTGGGAGAAGCGGGGAAGGGGGCTGGGCCAAATGTGCCCAGAATGTCAATGTGACAACGGAGCTGGAGAACTCAGAGGGGAGGGACAGCCGCAGTTTGACTTCTGCTGAGTTGGGTTCTGTTTCCCTCAGAGAAATGGACAAAATCACAGGAGGTGGATCTTTGGAAAGAGATTACTCTGGAATTTCGATTTTTGTGCTTGCAATGATTCTGAAGAGGCTAAACTGTTATCACAAAATTTTGGTGGTTTACTTCACAGTTATGTTGAAAAAAAAAAAAAAGAATTTCCTCAGAACTGAGATTTACCCCAAACTATCCTAAGCCTGACCTCACTGACCAGCATGTGATGGAGCCCCCAGGCGAACTCACTCTTCCTTCTTTGTGTTCAGTCCAGCCAGAACCGAGATCAAAATGGGGTGCCCTAATCCCTGCCACCTCCACCTTAATCAAAAGTAAAAGAGAGGACTAAACATTGTGTTTCTTCTGGGAATCTTCTTCCAGAAGGTAAAAAATACCAATAGACTTACCCTGAGCTAGCAGCTTACATTTAGGGGAGAAAAAAATATCTGCTTGTACTTCCTTAGAATTTAGGGAAAAGATGAAAATGAAAAATCCAACTTTGTATACAAAGAGTTGCTCAGAATAAAACCAAGGAGAAAGAGCTCAGTCCCAGACTAAAAAGTCAAACATATATTCTGCTTGCCCTGATTTTGCTGGGTGGTCCTACTAAAGGTTCCCAGAACTAGAACCTTGAACGTAGGCTTTGACCCAAGCAGATCATTTCTTCTTCCTGGGTGTCCCTCCTTGGCTAGGAGAGTGAGTCGAATTTGAAGCTGGGAATTGTAGACCTTGGGGGTGAGAGTCCTGAGAGGAGGAAAAAGGAGTGCAAAGGGGGCTGGGGAAGGGTTAAGAAAATATATAAGACTGTGAAGTTTATAAAATAAAAACTAAAAATGGTTTAACAGATAAAAGATCAAATTTAAAGAACAAGTCAGGGTTTAAAAGGAAGTAAGATACAACAAAATTGAGAGCTTAAAATAAACAAAAATGAGGATAAGGCATAAAACACTTCAAGTAAATTATTCTTCAAAAGAGGAGGGGTTGGAATTAATCAAAAGAGACCTTGTTCACACCCCCCATAGAGTTTCCCAAACAATAAATTCATTTACCAAACAAAAAGAGAATACAAACTTAACAGTTTCACACGGAGGGGAAAAAAAAAATCATGGAGAGTCAATAATGGCTAAAAAATGAATGAGGAAGGAAAAAAATAAAGAAACAAACAAAATTGAAATCTGCTGATTATTTGTAAATACTGAAATTGGAAGATGGAATGGAGAAAGGCGCGAAACTGACATCTTTAGAGAAGTGAAACTTGCAAAAACAGAAGGTGTAACTCATTCTCAAAGAAAAGTAAACTCTCCATAAGTAGAATGCTTCTCCCCAAAAGAAGAAAATATAAAACGGATGTAAAAAGTACCACTCACCCTTCCTCCAGAAAAGTGTATTAATCTGAAATTAATCTCCCCCCCAAATCTGAAATAGATTATACAAAAAATAAATAAAAGGATTGCTTTCTTTCAACTGAGAAAAACAAAACCGGATTTAAATTGCCTAATGGGGCAGGAAGGGGGACGTTGTTTGCAGGTGCCAGATAGGATGGGGGAGGGGATGCTTCAGGGGAGGAAGACCCGCTTACCTTTTTCTGGAGCAGTGGCCGCTAGACCGAGGTGGGCGCGGGACACAGTGAGTGTCTGCGTGCGTGTTAGGTCAAAAAAGAAAGAGGGAATCCGCGTGCCCCTGTACGAAAGAGGAGAGTAGAAGGACTGGGGGTACCCACCTCCCCACCTCCGCGCATCTCCCTCCCTCCTGTACCCAGGCCTAGAGAGCTACTGAAAGTTACAAATTGCTTCCATTATTAGCTCATCCCGGGCGTCCTGGTCATTGGCCAACCCTGGACCACGTGGTCCCTCGTACCAATCGATCGAATTTCTAGTTGCAATTCTCTGTCTGTCCCTTGGCTCTGGGCAGGAAAGGGGGGGGGACCGGTGGCGCGGGGGTTGGGGAGGGGCTAAAGAGGGGGGGGTCTCTTCGCCCCCTCACCCTCCTTTTCCGCCTTGTCCCGGGCCTGAGTGGCCGCCCCAGAAGGGGTTGAGAGAATGTTGTTGGCTGGGACACACCCGGGAAGGCACAAACTGGAGGAGGCGGACAGACACCGCCATGGACCCAGGGCCCTCTCCTCCCAGTTCCCCGAGCCGGGTCGGCCACGCTGGCCACACCCTCTTAGAGCGCCTGCAGGGTCCGGGCGGTCCCGGGGCTAGCAGCCCGGCCCCCTTGTGCCGGGAGCTTGAATGTCTTCTCTACGGATCACAGCTTCCGCCCACACTTTGGGGAAGGTGCTTCCCTGGGGCTCGCTCTGGATCAGGCGCCTGCGCCCTCAGGGGCACCCTTCTCACGCCACTGCCGAGTTTGCGCCCCTCCTGGGACAGTTTGAGAGGTGAACAAACTTTTGAACGGATAAAAATCAAGAGGAGTCCGTCTGGAGCAGGAGCAGGTGAGCTGGGCTCAGGAGGGGTACATGCCCTTCAGCCTGAGGACGATCTGTCTCTCCCTCTCTCTGTCTCTGTGTGTATGTGTGTCTCTCATCCTGACTCTATCCCCCTTCCCCTGCAGGCTGATACTAATCTGCCCTCCCTCGGAGGAATTGGGGCTGGGGCAGGGCGTCTGTCAGTTAAGTGGGTCCCGAGCAGCTTTTCTTCGCGGAATTTGGGGACTAAGGTGGCAGCTGGCAGAGGTGGAAGGATTGCTTCTGAAACTGGGGAGGGCGGGAGAAATTGGGGGCCTAAAGACCCAAAGAGTCTGGGTGTGATAACTGCTTTCTCCAAACGCAACTTGCGGGAACTTCAGAAAAGTTTTTTGAAGGAAGATGGAGAAGGGAGCAGAGTTGGGGTTTTGAGGTTTAACGTGGGAGGGAGGAGAGCTTGGCTTCCTACAATGAAGGAAGGATGAATTTGCTTGTTTCCCCAATCAGGGTGGATTATCAATGCCCCGGACCTGCTCTCCCAGCAAACTCTTAGAGACGCTTGGAGATCCCCATAAGGGTCTCGGCAGAAGGGGAGAGAAGTACCGGCGGAAAATAGCAGTTTCCCACTCTCCCGCGGAGGGGGTGGGGGGCGGGGTTATCAGTCCGGAGCCCCAGCTCTGGACAACCTCAACCCCAGCTGCTCCGGGACCATTGGCTGATTTTAAGTTAGGATGACACGAGAGAGGGAACAATTCCCAAATTTCTTCCTCTTTTCCTTAGAAACCCATTTTGTTGCAGAGATCCAACTCCGGAAGATGCAAGAGTGCCCCTCTCCATCCTACCACCCCCCATCACAATCTTCCTCCTTTCTCCGGAGCTCAAGGGAGAGCAAGGAAAAGAGCCCCTTACTCTGACTGGGGGGCTGAGATTGCCCCCATCCACACAAGGGAAGTCCCCGGAGAAAGAGATGGTTCTTTTAAAAGGAGTCAAGGGCAGAGGGTGGTTTCAGAGGGCGCAGCTGAACTTGGGCATGCCCTGGTTGAGAGTGGGGGGAGTAGGCAGGCCCCCGGTGGGGTGCTGGGCCTTCCTTGCAGGATGGTCTGAGAAAGCAGGTGAGGGCAGAGGCCGTGGTGGGTGTACCAGCAGAGCCTGGGGAATTCTCGAGCCCCGCGTGCCGGGAATGGGAGGCCCAGCTTGGGCTGGCAGGTCCCCACAGCATCTGAGGTTTGTGGGTCCTTCCCTGCACAGCCGGGCAGGCAGCAGCTGGCAAATTTGGACCAGTTCTTGGAGAGGGTCGGAAGGGGTTGTGTATCCCAGAAGGGACCATTCTCATAGGAGTGCATGGTGTCCCTGGCCAGTGCCCAGCCCACACCTCCAGAGGCTGCTTGGCCCTGCTCGGTGGGGAGCTCAAACCTGCCCAGGCCTTTGTTTTCCCAGCGGGAGCCTGAGGTTTTTCCGCTGGTAATGCAGTGGCTGTCCAGCACCTGCTCCTCCTGGAGCCTCCGGAATTGGGCCTGCCCCCCTAACAGGTTTAAGAGGGCCCAGCCCGCACTGCCTAAAGACCTGATCTCCAGAGTGTGGGCCTTGAGAAGTCCGGGGGCAGACAGGAAAGTGATTGATACCCCCAAACTAAGCCCTTTTCTTTCCTTCCATTTTGTGGACCTACCAACACCTCTCCAGCCCAGAGGAGTGGGGTGGAAGAAAGGTCTCATCCCGCCGCAATTCCAGAACTGACCCGGGAGCCGACTGGGGCTTCTCTTTGGCGGCTGCCCAGGCTCTGGGCACACTAAAGAGAAGGTGCCTGGTTCTAGGCTTCACCCCCCTCTTGATGAATCCAGTCCTTTCGCCCCTATCTCCCCAACACTCCCCTCGCCAAGATCTGTGGGGTTCTCTCTTTTACTCTGTCCTTTCTCCTCTTCCTCTTTCTCTTTTTTATCAGGATTGACAGAGAGACAACAATTTGCTAAGTCTTGTCTAAGCCTATACTGGGGAGCTGCGGACTCAGCCCCGACTTCTCAACTAGGGGGAACCGCCCCATTCCCAGACCCTTGAATTCTGCCCCCAAGTTGAGGGAAGTTGACAAAGAATGGGTGAAGGATGGCTGGCCTGCCATGGGACAGAGCCCCAACCCGGGGAGGGAGCAGTTTTTAGCTATTTGCCTGTTGCAGAGAGAGGATTTAGAAACAAAGGAAGAGAGGGGAAAAATGGTGGAGGAAACAGCACAAAGAACTGGAAAATTTGTGAACAACAAAGATAAAAGACTGGTGGGGGAAGAAAAGATTTGAAAAAGCCCCAGTACTGGGGACAGAAGAAGTGCCTCCACAAGGGTGGGTGGGACAGAGGTGAACTTGAAGAAATTCTGGTAAAGAACAGAATGATAAAGCAGAACTTGTTTGTTTTGTGAGGGGGGGAGGCAGAAGGGAAGGAAAGAGAAAACAAAGGAATGAAAGAGGGAGCTTAAAGTAAAGGAAGCAGGAAGGAAAAAAGTAAAAGAGAAAAGAAACAGAAGGGAATAGACAGGAAAGGAGGACGGGAGGTGAAGGGAGGGAAGAAGACAGAAAGAAAGCAGGGTAGGTTGGGGGGGGCAGAAAGAAAGCCAAGAAAGGAAAAAGTGAGAATTAGAGAGACAGAGGAAAGAAAGGAGAGCAGGAAATCAGAAATCAGATTAACAGAAAGGGGATCCCAATTAGGAGGAGGGAGGGAGGGGAAGGAGGTGGGAAAGAGGCCTGCTGTGGTCGCTGTGGCTGAGCTGGGGTCTCCTGGTGCCCCACCGGCACCCCCTAGGCTACATTGGCCTTGACCTCCCCCCACTGGCTGCCCTGGCCCAGGGGAGAGAGGTGGAGGTTCTCACCAGCCCTCTGCAACCAGCTTCTCAGAGAAGCAGCTGCCTGAGCTGGAGAAGGGCTTCCTTCCGCAGCCTTACCTACCTCCAGCCCAGCCCAGTGGGCCTTGAGGCTCAGCGGGTCCAGATCCACTTCCAAAACCAGAACATGAAGCCAAAAAGGTGGTTTAGGGAGGGATGGCTGGCCAAATCGCCATGGCTGTCTCCTCACCCACAGCCCCCAGCGCCTCCACCCTGACCTTGCTGCAGAGGCTGTCTGCAGGTGGGCTGCCTGGTTCTGCCATGCTCTGGCTGTGACCTTGGGCCTCAGTTTGATCAGAGGTCAAATGAGTCCTTTGTGCTGGAGGGTTCTTCTGTAATTGTGGTTACAATGCCTGTCTGTGTTTGTGCAGGTGAGAGAGGGGTAAAGAGAAGGCCTGCCCCCCCCACTCCCCCCCCCCCCTCACCACCCCAGGAAAGGTATCTTCATTTTCTTCATTGGTGAGAAGAAAATTCCTCCTTGGCCAGCCTGACCTCCACCCATGCTCCAAAGAACTTCCTTCCAGGGCAGAGGCTTTCTCTCCACCAGAAAGGGTTGTATTCATCTGTACGAGGCTTGGCGGGCGTAAGGTTTTCCAGGGCTGAAAGGGCCAGAGAAGGAAGTCATTCTTGAAAGAGAATGAACACATTTCCTACTAGGGCGAGTGGACTCTAGGTCTGCAGGACACTGCACTGAACTCATGCACACATAGATGTTAATTGGCAAAAGGGCTTTAGATTCAGCTGCAGAGGAATGAAGTGGGGGGCAGGGGCAGGGGGGGGGGCATGGGTGTGTGTTTCTGGAGCCTGTTGGGCCTGCACTCCCGGGCCCTGTTCACGCGCTTCCCTGGACAGCTGCCCCGTTTGATTCAAGGGGCTTTGCTTCTTTTCTTTTCCCTTTCCTTTTTTTTTTTTTTTTTTTTTTTTATAGGGGTTTCTTTTTTTTTTTTTTTAAGATTTTATTTATTTATTTGACAGACAGAGATCACAGTAGGCAGAGAGACAGAGAAAGAGGAGGGAAGCAGTCTCCCCACCGACCAGAGAGCCCGATGCGGGGCTCAATCCCAGGACCGTGGGATCATGACCTGAGCTGAAGGCAGAGGCTTTAACCCACTGAGCCACCCAGGTGCCCCTTTAAGAGGGTTTCTTAAAGCCAGTTAGGTACTTCCTTTGTTTCCCAGCAGTGCAAAGGGGAAAGTCACTGAGATGAGCCCGATCTCCAAGGGCAGTCCAAGCCTTGGGAATGGGCTGGGGGACCTCAAACAACCAGCGGCCACTAGGTTCCCAGTAGGCCTTGCACTTCTTCTCAGGAACCTGGGTCCAGCACTTCCCCACACTGCGCTTCTAGCTGCCCCCACCTCAAGCTGCTCCCGCCTCAAGCTGCTGCTTCCCTTCATCTATCTTTCTTTCTCCCTCTATCTCTCTTGCTCCCTTTCTTCCTTCCTGTTCTTTCTGTTCTCTCTTTCCCTCATCACTGAGCCCAAGATGGGGCTTTGATAATCAGGCTTTGCTCTGAGACCTTCAGGCATGCTACCAGGAGACCTGCCCTCGGGAGGACATGGAGGCAAATATGAGGATGGGAAGATAAGGGTCAAATCAGGGAGTCAGTTTGGCTGATCAGGTGCGGGATGAATCCGCTGGTTTTCTCTAGCAGTCCTGATTATCCTGCATCCCTGCCGCTCATCCCAGAGAATCTGATCCCACCTCATCCACCTGCTGGCCTGCCCTTGGCCACAGGGCTGGAGTTGCTGGTGCCCCCAAGGCCATTCTTTCCCAGGATGAGGGAGGGCTTACAGGAGCTCTCCTTGCCTCAGCGGGTAGGGGTGCCGGGGAGGGGGTGTGGGGAGGTCAGGGACTCCAGGTCAAAGCCTCAAACTAGGAAAGAAGCAAAGCCTATCTCCTGATGCACTTCGGGGTCCTCTCTCCCTTGGGTGGAGAGGTTGGTTGGCTCTTGGCTCTTGGCTGTCTCTCCAAGGAAGACACCTGATCAGCCAGGCCCCCAGCCTGCCACATCTGCTCGGCAAAGAAGGGAGACCTCTCCTTCAAGGTCTGGTGAAAGGGATGCAGACTGTGTGCCCCAAGCAGCTTCCTTGCCTCAACCGGCCCTTCAGGGAAGGAGGGAACCTACTTGACTTCGCAGGATCCCGATCTCAGCCAGCAGAGCCGTGACAACTGCAGCCACATTCTGGAGCCTGACACTGGAGGAAGCTTCTGCCACTTGGCTCTCCTTGCTGCCTCCTTGCTGCCTTGGCCCCTGCTCATTCCGCTGTGTTGCGGCTTTCTCCCTCATTCCCGGGGTGGGAGGGATGACAGGGAAGTAAGATGTTCCTCCCCTTCCCCCTAGTCTTTCCCCATGCCCCACCAAGCCTCAAAGCTACTGATCATAATCAACCACTGCTCCCAGCCCTGCTCAGAAGGGACTCGCAGTGAATTCAGATTCTCTTCTGGGCGGGAGGAAGAACGAATGCTTCTTCCTCAGTCCTCCCTGGCTCATTGATCCATTCGAAGGCCACTGGGGGGGTCAAAGTTGAGACCGGATTGCTTCAATTGGTTTAAAATTAGCATTTTTTAAAAATCATACCGAAGGCCCAGATTTCTCACATGGAGGAATGGGAGGTCTCGGGGCGCTGGGCTGGCTTTGGATTTCAGGGTCATGAGTTCAAGCCCACATTGGACCTAGAACTTAATTTAAAAAAAAAAAAAAAGGAATAGGAAGTCTTTAACCAGACCCACACCTCCTCTCTGGCCTTTCAAACCAGCGATGATATAAAGGCTCGTTGAGGTGAAAGCATGGAAGGAGAATGAGCAGTTGGCCCCATCTACCAGCTTCAGCGGTTCATTCCGCTAATATTTATTTAGAGCATACTGCGTGTGAACCATCATCTGTACCTCAGTTTGTCATGGACCGTCAAGAGCAATTCCTGCCCCTATGAGGCTTCAGTGTGTATGGACAGATATACAAATAAATCAGTGGAAAAGAAAGTCTGGGTTCAGCTGATTTCTACCGCAGCCTTCCAGGTGCCTGGTCTCAGAGCCACCAGCTCTGAGGGAGCCCCCAGCACCCCCACCCCAGCGACCCACACCAACTCCGTTGAAAAACAGGATGGCCCTGGGTCTTGTTTGTTTCCCGCACTGGAAGAATATAAAATGGGGCAAGAAACATGCACTGGGATTGGCAGACCTGAAATAAAGGGTTTGGGATGTCGGCGAAGGGGCCTTCCAAGGGTCCCGTTCCACCCTTGGGACATGCCCTGTCGCCGCGCGGGGTGACTGGTTTCTCTGGGGTTGCCGAAGCAGGCTTGGGGTTTGCCTTAGTGTAATCACATGCCTGAAGGTGACAGTGAGGGTGTGCATAAGCAAGTAGGCTGAAGGGGGGGGTGTTCAAGTGTTCCTGCACAGGGCTTGGCACTGGAGCAGGTGTGTGTGCGCACGCACGCTGGGGGGCCGGCTGCACACAGATCTGAACATAGCTCTTCATACATGACCCTCTGTGTTTGCAAGTGTGTGCGTACCCTCTGAATTATTATAAAATTACCCTGACCCTTACAGAAAATCCATACTAGCCTCGGCCTTTCTCCCCCGACCTCTCGACCTCTGGGGTGCCTGAGGAAAGAGCTGACCCGGTCACTGCCTCCCCCAGTCAATGAGTCTCTCTCCATTAGCATAAAACATGAATCTGCTGGCAGCTTGACAAATTATAACTAGCAGCCAGAGTTTTGCCAACTGGCTGGCTTGGGCGCTGTCTATTTATCATTGAAAATGGTAAATCATAAGAATCCAGATGACTTAATTATTCAAATCCACCCAGGACCCAGAGAAGCTGCAGTCCCGTCAGTCTCCGCCCTGGGCTCAGGGAAAGGGCAAGAGGACGGTGCTGGAAGCTTGGGTGGGGGCTGGGAGATGCAGGGTCCACGGCCACCCGTCTCCTCTGCCCGGCAAGCCCACGTTTCTCTGCAGCCCTTCCCCTCCCTGCCTGCGTGCTACTGTCCCCAGAAGAAACCAAGCCGATTGTTTTGGCTACTGACCCTCCCAAGGCGCCCCCTTCCCCACCTCCCGCTGCCTGCCACCCATCCCCTAGCTCACGCAGGAGGTTCTCTGCATCTCTTTGTGTGGGTCTCTGCTAGCTTGCCCTCTCTTTCTCTTTCTCTTTCTCAGTGCCTTCATTCTCTTTCTCCTCTTTCTCACATTCTTCCCCCCCCCACCTCTCTTTCTCTCTCCCCTCCTACAGATGGATCCTGACCTCCCCCCGACCCATAACTTCTCAGATGGAGGTTTGCCTGCGCCCCTGCCCCCTTTGTTTATACATGGTCCCAGAGGTGCCCTCTCAGGACCTCCACACACCCACACTACTCCACCCGTACCCCAGCACTTGAGTCCTGGGAGGTTTGAATTCTCTCCTCCGTGGAGCCACATGGAAGCATAAGTGTCATGGATGACCTTGGCCTACTCAGCCCCTCACCCCCACCCTCCACACACCTAACCTCCCTTCTGTGGGTTTCTGAGCACCATTCTGCACAGCTGGGGAGCTGGGAGACCGGCTGTCACAGATATGCCCGAGCAGGAGACAGGACTGGGTCCCAAGAAGGCCCACCCTGGGGCCGTCCCCCGGCTCCCCACAATGGACCACCTCACACCGGAGCAGAGGGATCGCTCAACTTGAGAAAAAGAAAATCTGTTTGCAGAACAAATTGTGCATCCAGAGGTCTTCATGCTGAGCTTCTGGGGTCCCTTTGATTTCTGGGTCCTTTTATCTTTGTGTCCTCACAATCCAGTGTAAATATGTGCTATTATTTCTTCCAGTCCTGGACCGCAAAGGAGGTGGGCGTTGTCCCCAGCCCCCAGTGGGGGGTGGTGCTGTGTCTTCCACCTTCACCCATCATGCCGGAGGAGAATGTGGGCCGTGAGGGGTTCACTACAGCCCCTCTCTTTGCGTGGCATCCTGACTTATTCTTTCGGGGGGCTTGTTCTCTCTGTGAAGGCCCCAGAGCCCCGGCCCCAGACATGCCCCAGACGTGCCCCAGAGCCCACTTCTGTGTCTGCAGATGCTTGTCAGATTGGTTCGGAGTGACCGTGTCAGCCTGTGTGTTTGTCCCCACACTTTCAGGAATCCTTATGCTGAAACAACAAGTGACAATGTCCCCACCAACAGGACACCTGAGGAAATAGTCCTCTCACTCCCCACAATTCCATTTTAAGGCCTCTGAGCAACGGTGCTCTCAGTAAAATATCCATCTTGATGAATCATCAAACTCTAAAGAGGGAGCTACTCATTACTGCTACTGAACCTGCATAAGTTCTTCCTTGAGTCTAGCCTTCTTCTCCTTTCAGGGTGGAGTATGGGGATGGGGCTCCCCAGTCTCCAGAGGGGACTCCTCCACTCCCTCTCCGAGAGAACATCTACAGCGTGTCAGGGACGCTTCCAGCTCCGGGCTCATCCTCACTGCTAAAACCAGCATCCCTTCCCTCTTCCCTCCCTCCCAACCTTTCCAAGCCAGGTTCCTGTTTGACCACAAGGGCAGTGGTGAGGCGTAAAGCAGGAGTGGAGAGGATCAAGATTCAAAGGCAGGCTAGCAGCTGGACGCCAGGAAGATCAATAAGGTAAATAGATTGGAGACAGGTTTCTCCCACTTCTTTTTTTTTCTGCTGGCTCAGTGGCCCCGCCCCAGCTCCTACAAGCAGGCGGGGGACAGAGCCCAGTCCTGGCCTCTCTCTGCCCTTCTAACTCAAACAGGTTCCTAATCCCTGGGTAGAGGGTAAACAGCCTCGGAACACCACCCGCATTAACCACAGAAATGCCGCCGGTGTATTTTGGGCACTCTTCCCTCCCGCTCCCCCCAACCCCGTGTTACTAATTAGCCCAAGAGCTTGGGAGAAGCTTGGGAAGGGCAGCTAAGAATGCCTTTGTGCAGGCCCTGCGAGCCCAGGTCTGAGCTCTGGATAGTGTCTCTGGAGCTCGAACCACTGATGGTGGCAGAGGGCTTCCCGCCCCCTCCCCACTCACTGACTCCTAAATCAGCTCAAAGGGAGACGGAGGCTTTTTTCTCTGCATCCCTCCCCGAATCCCCCTGTCTCCCCTTGGCTGTTCACAGCTGGGAGGCAGGTGGGGGATAAGAGGGAGAGTGGAATCGGCTCTGGAAATCAAACGACCCAATAAAAAATTAATTGTCTAATTAAAACCATGAGGAAGCCCCTTGCCAGAGTTTGGCTCTGAGTCATCAGGGCTATAAAGGGTGGGAAAATGAGTCTCAGCTCCTAATAAATTCCTGATTTGCAGCTTGGTCTATCCGCGAAGGAGCGCTGAGTGTTCTGCCAGGGTAGAGCTCCTGGAGGTCACTCCTTCCTCCCTCGGCCCCCAGCCCAGGTGATCACACCCACTGCCACCTCCACTCACCCAACTCAAGCCCAGGGAAAGGAGTCTCTCCAAAGGGGTAGAAAAGGCTCTGCTCAGGGAGGGCAAGCCTTTCTGAGACTGGTGCGCAGGCCCCCTGACGTGGTGCTTCCCCTCTGCTTCCTGGTCCTCCAGGAAAAGGAACTTCCTGGAAACTTCTCCAGCTAGAGAGGTCTTCGTTTAAGTTAACTACTAATTGTTATAGACAGGCTTACTGTGTAGATTCATTTTGACCTCACCTCCTCTATTTTTGTGAAAAATACATTTTTACTGAATTTCCAAACCAGCAGCTTCCCTCCCTTAGGCTTTAGTGCTGATTTTTGCAGGTGAATGATGGGCGACCAAGCTAAGAAATTTAATATTCCCCACACTAAAGGGCTGAGCACACACTGCCTCATTGGCCAGATCTTCTGGAAGAACAAACACGGAGCTAGTCTAGAAAGGGGTGCGGAGCTAGGCAAGTCTCGGGTGTAGATGAGGACCCAAACCCTGAAAAATTGTACCAAATCTTCCCTTGAATCTGTCCAATGCCTCTCTTCCCGCCCTTCCTTGGCAAAAGCCAATGCATTATACATCGTCAGAGGCATTAATTTGCAATAGCTAGAGAAGAAGGAGGAAGTGGTTAGCATACAGCCCGCAACATCATAATATGTCATTTTATTATGTAGAACACAATCCTGGATATAATATCTGTGATTTGCTTTTTAAACCCAGGAGAACAAACAAGGGTGTTCTCAGAAGGACACAGACTTATCCCATATGTACCTCTATTAATTAAAACATTTCTGCAAAGTCTCCTTTTAAGATGGACTTCATAGCTCTTCTACGAAATGAATTATTTTTTGACTGATCCCCCAAAAGCAAAGGATAAAGATCTGTCACCAATAAGGACATTCAATAAACTGAGTCATGCACCCTGAGGAATTGGAAACACGTGGAGTCCCTGGCCCTTGTTGGCCGGAGGGGCTTCCCAGCCAAGGTGACCGCTGGGTGTCCGTGTGCTCCTTCTGAGGTCCTTCTCTGTGGCCACATCTGGAATGTATTATTTATCATTCCTGATAATCCTTTCTTCGTTCATCTGGTTGTTATTTTTCATCCTAAACAGTGAACTAAGCTTTCCCTACTAAGGAGAAAAACAAAAGGAAACAAATTCCTGAGCCCCATGTGGCTCAGGATCCCATTTCAGATTTCAGCAAGGTCCCATCCACAAGTGTCACCATGGTGGCTGGATCTTCCGGCTCCCGAGAGCCCCAAACCTAGAGACTGGGGCACAGACCCTGGTGCCAATTTACCTTGTGCCCACCGGGAGCCAGGCCCCACTGGGTGCTTACATATGGGTGACCCTTTTCAGGACAGGACTAGCAGGCAGTTTTCCATCCCCCGATGGATGGAATTGGTCATTTCTTGTCCCTGCTACCTGGTGGAAGACTGCATATTCCTCCCAGGTCCTACTGTTCCTGGAGAAGCTCCGGTTTCCTGATGTCCACTTCTCTGGAGGACTTAGCTTCAGAGGTCATTCTGTGCAGCTCTGTGTCTCTGGGCAAAATTCCCTTGAATATTCCCAGTCCTCAGGAGGACCAGCTTGAGTTCGTAAAGAGAACCCTGAGCCCAGAAGGGCAGGACAGTGGCACGCATTCACACCATTTGGGGCAGGGGGTATGGGGGTGGGCAGGGCACCATGTGTACTGAATTCTATGTGAATGGCACCACCTAGAGTTGTGCTCTAGGAGCGCAGAGAGCGCTGGTCCTGGAGCTGAGTCACCCGGCACCCCAGGGGTGCCGGGTGACTCCACATGGCGTTCAAGGGTGAAACACCTACCTTCTGACAACTGATATGTCAACACCTCAGCCCCCGAGAAAGGGCTTAAAGGGGAAACCCTCCCTGCCTCACTGATGGCTGAGAGATCTAGGCTCAGCACACAGCTCACCAATCTTCTCTATTCAGCTTCAAAGGCAGCCCCAGCCCCAGGGAGGACCTCAGGGGTATGGAGCAAAGCTGATCTGACCTAAATGGACAATGGATAATGTTGCCTGAGCACAGGTGAGGCCAACCCTAGAAATCACAGGGAGACCTAAGATCCCACCCAGCCGGCAGTTTGGGGAGGGAGGGGAGCAGGTAATGGAGGGGCCGGTACAATCTTCAAGGTGCAGAGGCGTTTACCGTTGCTCCTCCTAGACTGAAGAGCCCCTTGCCTGCAAGCAAGCTGCTCTAGCCTCCTCACCTGTGTCAGCCTGGCCCGTCTGGCCCCGGTGCTTTACCCTCTGCAGAGGCCTCCCTCTGTCCTTTCAACCCCTTCCATTCTCTCCTCTCCCAGAGTCTTTTTGAACAAAACCTACTGACCTCTGTTATTTCCACGACTTTCCCCTCAAGCATTCTCTCAGCCTGCAGGCACTCAGGGCCCCCCACCGTGTCCTCCCCTCACTGGGACAGGGCCCTTTCCCATGTCCTAGTCACCCCATGATGCCAGGACACCCCCGACTCAGCTGCTCACAGATGCTCTGCTCTCAGAGCCCCAGATGAGCTACCACATCAAAGACTGGGACACCAGCACTCAGAGGATGGGGACACCCAGTCAAGGACCAACCTACCTTGACTGAACTCCTTCTTTGTTCTGGCATCGTGGGCCACAGAAAGAGCAGGGGTAAAGAATCCAGTCCCAAAGAGCACTGGGTCATGCGACCAAAAAAAAGACATAATCAACCCAGACTTAAAATAAGTCTTTATTTTAAGGTTCACCTGACCATGAAGGTGAACTTGGTGGACAATAAATTTCAGAGGTGGGAGAAAAAGCTGTCAACTAGAATCCTCCCAAAAGACACCCGGAGGAGGTCGGCTGCAGCTGGGATCCCCTTAGAGGCCTCCCGGAGGCTAAAGAATCATCACATGGGTGGGCTCCATTTCCCCAGCACATTGGCCACTGGGGAACATCCCTGAGCACCCGCTCTCTGCCAGGCTCTGCACCAGGCACCAGAAACACAAGTGCAAGGGAGTCTGTGCCTTCAAGGCACTGTCAGCCTAGATGGGGGAAGAAATTGTAAGTAGATCTTCATAAAGAAGTGAGGGAAGGACCATCACTTCCGGTACAGCCAGGCATTATCAGAGCACCACAAACACACCTAAATCTATCTGTGGAAAGGGCAGACGAAAGGGGTAGGGAAGGCATCCTGAAATGGGGAGGCCAGTGTAAACCAAGCACATGGTACCCCTTCTTCTCCCTGCACCCCTCCCAATGGAAAGTCACCTTCCGCCCCACCAGCTTCTTCAACCAGGGTCCTTGTGGGGTGTGCACACCCCAGCACACTTTCCCACGCAAACTCGAAGCAGATAACTCCAATCCTGAACTGGGATGGGAGCTCTGGGGTGCCTCCCTAACCCATCTGCCCCTCAGTTCTCCCACCCACCCAGCACAATGGCCGCGTGCTCTCTGATTCCCAGCCTTGGAAGAACCCTGGGCAAGAGAGAGGGAAGACCCTACCATCTCCGGGAATCACTTGGTCTGCCACCTTCCTCCTCCCCACCTTTGGGGAAGATGGCCCTGCTTCCCCCTGGTTCTCCATCTGTGATCCAGTGCCCACCTCCCACTGCTGCAACTCTTCCTCCCCCCACCTTGGAAGAACACACGCCTTCCTCCAGATCTCCCTCCAAGGTGGCTGAGTGGGAGGGAGGCCACCTTTGGCCCCATTTTCCTTGGCCTAGGCGGGCTATTTTGGAAATGAGAAAACCCCTTTGCCCTTTCCTCCCCTCTGGGGAGCACCCTCCCTCCCCTCTCCACATTCCCCAGAAGTTCTCAGACTGAGATCCATCCTACGTGAAGTTATGTGGTGAAATCAGCGCTTTCCTGCCCTGCAGGCGCCAATGCTGGGAAGGGAGCCTACACAAACCTTTGATGTAGGCACGTTTTTAAAGGCCCACCTGTCCCCTGTCTCTCCCCAGCCCCCAGCCTGAACTGCTGGAGCCCCTCATCACAGCTTTAAATCCCAGGCTCCCCACCCCAACCCGGCCAGGATCAGGTCACACACACCCTCTCCCACTGGGGGTAATCAAACCCAACCACGCTCACTCAGGGACATCTGTCTCCAGTGAATAAGGAGCGATCCCAAACTTGAGGGGTTCGGTGACACTTAAAAGCTTCAAGCAGGAAGATCTGCAATTTCTCTTGGAGCAGGGCCTGTGGGGAGGGTCGCTGGGAAACCCTTGTTTGATGTTGCGCTTTCATGGCTGTGGTTTGATCCAGATGTTCCCCACTTGTGGGATTTTCTCCTTGGGAGGGAGGGGCCTTTGGCTGTGAAGACATTTCCACCATGTGCACATGTGGGTCTGGGCCGGCGGGGTGGGGGTGCTCCTCTAGCTGATCTCACTCTGCTCCCACCAACCTGATCTCCCCCAGGATCACAGCTGTTCCCTCCACACTCAAAGAAGAGAAGATAGCATTCCCATCAAGGGGCATTCTTAGCCCCTTGTAGGTTTGCTGTGTCACGCTCTAGAAATGGCTCTGCCTCTCTGTTCTTCTGGCTCCATAAGATGAAGCTGAATTTGGTGCCCAAAGTTGGTTCATTCCCAGATCGTGAAAAGAATAGAAGAGCAAGTTCAAGAACCAGATTTCTGGCCAAGGAACAATCATCTAAGAAATTGTAAGTGGGATTGACCTGAGTGTGGATGAGTCAGGGCTGTGGAAAGAGGAAGTGGTCATCCCTCTGGGGGGTCAGTCCTACCAGGGTCGAAGTAAACCTTTCCAGACACACAGACCCCTCTGCTCCCTCAGAGCTTGAAAAGGTTAAGACTCAAAAGCTGCCCTGAAACCTGGAAATCTTTCCTTCAATGTTAAAAGTCTTCAGACGTTCCTCCTGCTGTCCAGCCTCAGGGACTGCTCCCTATCCCAGGAGGCGCCTCCCCCAAAGAAAGCATGTCGGTCACAGTCAGTGATCCTCCAAAGCCCCAGGCATCCTTCTAGACACTTCTGTCTTCTGGAATCAGAAGAAGGGCTGCCAACTCCATCAGAAATCAGGTTGCTCCTGGAGCCGTGCCGGTGAGCACATAAACACTTCTTGAATCCCTGCCCGCATCGTAGAGGTCATGGCCTACACTGGACACATGGGTGTTGAGTGATGGAGGCCGGGAAGGCAAATGAAACTCCAAGCCTCGCTGAACGAAGGCCCCAGGCTACAAGCAGATCCTAAAGGACTCACCTCAGCCCCAAGGTTGGGTAAGTGGACTATTTTAGGAGGGGACTGTGTGGGGAGAGAGAACGTGTGGGAAGCTTCTTGCAAGAAGAGGAGATTTGGGGGAGACGAGGGAGCGGGGGAGCCACGGAGTGGACGGAGGAGGGCCCAGGGCTGGAGAGACCCAAGAGAGATAGTCCAGTGGGAGAAGAGTGAGCTGCTTCTGCCAATAGCCCAGAGGGAAGGAAGGCAGAAGATGGGAAAAGCCTCACAGGCTATCCCACCTGGAGAAACTGAACACCGTCCCCGGCTCCCCTTACTCTGTGTAACACCAGAAAAATGCATGTTTGGGGGATCAGCTTTTCCCCTGGAGGCCCTGAGGGTCAGTTCTCAGGCCCACCCTTCCTTCGGATTTTGATGCAGTCAAGCACAGATGGGTCAGGTCATAATGGTGATGGGGTGAGTGGCATCGGGTCTCCCTGGCTTGAATTTTTTCTTATTCCCCTACATCCTCTCTCTCTTAGGCAATAATTTCTCATTTCACTTGGTCTTATATACCCCATATGTCTCTAGCTCAGAGAACTAAGAAACACTCCATCATTCTTAAGCTGGGCCTTGCCACCTGCGAGCCCCTCCCCTCTCACACATATGTTCACACAACTGGGGCAAGTGGTAAGCTTCCCCATGGCCCCCTCCTGCCCCTCTCCCCCACTACCCTTCTCAGCTTTCGGACTAGAATTAGAGCTTTCTCTCCAGCTGGGGGGTGGCAGGGGCATGATAGGAGATCTTCACAGCTGGATAGCAGCTGGAAGAGCCCCACCTGTTCTGTGCACTCACAGTGGCTCCCTGGAGGTGACCAGTGACAAGGGGAAGAGGCGCTGGGAAATCGTGGGCTGGGGGAGCTCATGCATTGGGATTCGGGACATGGTATGGTCTGGTCTGGGGTGGAGGGGAGGCCAGGTGCTCAACAAGGTCTCCTGGGTCTCTCAAGCGGCTGATGGTATGGGGCACAGTCCGCTCAGGGCATCTGAAGACTCTTCTTCCCCACCTCCTCCCCTCCGCCTCTCCTAGTCCTCATTACTGTGGAATCTAAGTGAGGACACACCTGTCCCAAGTGCTGCTCTCAATCCGTCCCCCCACCCTGCCCCGTGACTTCCACTTCCCTACACCCTTCCACCCGTGCCCAAATCATCACCCTGCAGGCTTGCTAGAGTCTGACCCAAACTCTCTACTCCAGAGACAGACCTGTCCCCAACTCCCACTGCTGCTGTGGGTGGAGAAACTGACATAGGACCAGAAAAACCATCCTCCGTCTTTTCTCCTGAAGGGCTCACAGACCCCAGGCCCCCTCCCAGAGTCAGAACTCCCAGGTAACATGAAGAACCTGACAGGGAAAGGGCCCTCATTCTCTCACTTGGGCCTGGAAACATGAGAGCTTCCCCTGAGATGTGAGGGCTCCGCTTCGGCGCTGTGGAAGGCTCACCACCACCAACCCCCACCTACCCTCCTCATCAGCCCCATTACTGCCAAAACAGAGCTGTTTGGACAAGTCTGACGCCCAGGACTGGGCTAAGAAGTTCGGGCAGGAGGGCAGAAGTGAGAGACACTTCCTCAGTGTTTCCTGCAAGCCCACTAGGCTGGAGGGCCATGAGCAGGTCCACTGGGTCACAGCCCTGGAAACCTCCCCGGGTTGCATGTGAGACCACTGAACTACCTGAAGCTGGTAAATAAGATCCTGGCCAGCAAGCAGTCGGCACGGAGGTCCTGCTATGTGCTGGGTTGGATTCTGCAGGGGGAAGTAGGGGAAAGGAGGGTCATTTCCCTAGTCTTATGCTCCATATCCCACAGTAACCCCCAGAGGTACAGAGTATAAATATGGGAGATCCCCATGCTAGTATAAAACCCCATCATCTTTTCTTCCCCTCTGCTCAGACGTGTGATCATGTGTGGATCTCAGACACCCAAGCTAGACAGAAGGAAAGACTTCCCCGAGTACGGGTTGGCAGTGCTGTTAGCAATTTCATCAGACATGGAGGCCTCTCTTCTTGGAAGGCGGTGAAGCAGGAGAGTCCCCATGCTGCTGAGCCTGGAATGAGGTAAGTCCCCCGTCTTCACGAAGATTGGGGGAGGGGATGGCTAACATGACACCTCAAGACCCTACCCAGCAGAGATGTGAATATGAGGACAAGAGGACACACAGAGGGACAGACGGATGGAAGGACTGGAGGAGCAGGGAGGGGGAGCATGGTGGGAGAGATGAATGGTCTCCGGTGGACTGATGGATGGCGGCTGAGGTTTGTTTACTGGCAGCCCCTAGCCCGCCATCGCCGGGGGAGAGGAATGGCGGCTGGTACATCAGAGGGCTCTTAGGGAAGCTCATGGAGATGATTTAGATGGGAATGAATCAGCTCCATATGGATTAAGTGTCCCCGCAAATCCCAGGATCTTACAGATGAGGGGACGGGGCAAGGGCACCAAGGGGAGGGGCAAGGGAGGGGGCAGCATGGAGCTGGTGCAAAGAAACACGGGCCTGGAGCCAGGTGGGGGGTGCCCTGGGAGGGCCCCAGGGGGCCAGCCAGGCACCAGCGGTGTGCCCCCCGGGTCTGTCCGTACCGTGTCTCTCAGGCTCCGTATCAGGCTTTAGGGGAAGACCCTGTATGCAGGAGTGCCCTGTCGGGAGTTTCTCTCCATTTTCCCTCACCTCTTTCTCTCTCCTCCTCTCTTGCATGTGTTTTTCCATCTTTGCTCTTGGGTCCCTCCCCCTTCCTTCTCTCCTCTCTGTTCTAGTCTCTCTCCTTCCACACTCCCCTCCTCTCCTGCCCCCTCTCTCTGCTGCCCTGCTCCCTTCACTAGAGGTGTGGCTGACAGAGAGCTGCCCGCAGGTCCTGTGTGCTCCAGCCCTCTGGTCGGCCCTCCCTCTGGATTCAGGTGCAGCACTCCCCTTCCCTCGGAGCCCTCAGGCTTGGAGGCGTCCGAGAACACCAAAGGTGGTATGAAAGTGATTTTTTGACTACAAAAAGTTCTTTCTCTTCCTCTCTGCCTGCCCTGCCCTCAGCCCTCTGTTCTCCCGGTGCCAGAGGAAGCTGGGAGCAAGACGCCCATACTCAGCAGACAAGGGCAGGCTAAGCAGACCAGGCTTTCCCGTGCCACCAGAGGCAGTGGGTCACCTGCTGGCTGGGGGGCTCCCGGAAGCACTGTCTCCCCACTGTTCGTCCAATGCCCCGTGCAGAGGGCCCCAGAGCTGACTGCGGTTATGAAGCCGGCTGCCATGTGGACGACCTGGATCAGAGCACGGGGTAGTCATATATGACAATTGTTTGAAATATCACAGCCGCTCTCCCCCCACCCCCACTGGTGATCTATGGGCTGCGTGCCCTGTAAAAATTATTTATCGGGGCCTCAGAGTGTCCTGATTTAGTGCCGCTGCCTCTGGGGCCGAGGGGCCTGCCTGTCCGCCAGAGCCTAAGCGTTAAACGACGCTAAAAAGTTAAACGGCCAACGTTGGGGGCTCACTCGAGGAGGCGCCATAAAGCTGTCGGAGCTGCTTAAATCAGGAGCGAGGATTCCCCGGGACATCTTCTCACCATATGCCACAAGCCAAGACGGCTCTCCTCGCCGCTTTGGACTCACCCAAACCCAGCAGCCCACACTGGGCAGGGGGCTCTGGGGCCAGGCCGGGGCCAGAGCCAAGAAGGAGGTCAAGGCTGACCTCTCTCCTACAGACCTTCGATCAGCAGCACCGGGCCCAGGGACCAAGAGTGTAAGGGAACACACCATCCAGCCCTCTGCCCTTGGCCAGGGCTCTCCTCATTCACACCCCATGTTTAAAGACCTCCATCAAAAAGCACTGCGGCCCTCTCTTCCCACGGCCCTGGGGGAGCAGCACCTTCCTGTCTCTCACTTCTGTCCCCCAGTTCTGTGCCACAAACCCCCTGTGAGGCCAAGTCGGTCTATGGTGTGACCTCCAGTCTCTTCTGTACCACCGCCGCCCCCACACCCACTTGCCAGGCTCCCTGAAGAATAGGGCCCGGCCCCGGCCCCCCCCACTCCCCACAGACACCTCTGGGGGTCCCCGCACAACACTCAAGACTCGGTGGACGGGTTTCCAGGCTGAAGCCCAGTCCGTGCTGCCCCCGCCCGGCCACCAAGCAACAGGGAGGTGGGTCTCCGCAGGCGTCTATCACGCCCGCTTTCAGCAGCAGTAAAACTTGCCTCTTAAAACCTCCACTTGGGTCCCTAATATTTGCCTGGCTATATATCTCCGGTGATATATGGACAGAAATTGCTCGTAAACGGCTATAAAACCTCTTAGTCGGGCTGCGGAGGAGGCGCCTGAGTGCGGGCACGGCCCAGGCAGCGGGAGGCTCAGAAGCCGAACCATTCCACCCAGCAGGGCCCCAGGAATGAGGGGCTGTGTGTGGGACCCTCAGCAGAAGAGTGGAGGAAGGAGGTCCGGGGGACGTTCTACAAGCTACTTAGGAAGTCCTGCAGGGCTCGCTTACCTGGCTGTCCCCGTGAGGGGCTGTGCAGCTTTAGGCAAGTCACTCAGGGGCTCTGTACCCTGTGAGGACAGTGACACCCACCCAGCTCCCTCTAAGTTGTCATGAAGAGCAAATGAGGAAAGGCCTAGAGAATTCGTCAGTGCTTTGCAAGCAAAAAAAGCTGCGTAAAATTGGATGCTGCCCTCGGATGGGCCCAGTGTCTCGTGAAAGCCTTCTACCTGCTGGATTCTTGACCTAAGTGTTGCCAATCCTGACAACACCCTGCCATGCAGATACGACAGTCACATGTCACAGACGCAAACCTGGCTTCACAGAGGGCACATAGGTCGTCAGGGCCAGGGACTGATGCCCTTTCCACAACATGAGCATGAGATCCTGGCCACAGGAAGGATAACAGGTAAGAGGCCAGGGGGGTTTCCATCAAGGAGGTGGGGGACACTAGGACAGGTGGCTTCTCTCCCACTCCCTTCCCTTTCCAGAGCACAGCCGCTCACTCAGACATTTTGGTTGCAGTCCCGGCAGGGCCCGAGAGCCAAGGGGTTCCCTCAGCATGTTCCCAGCCACTATAACCCCTCATCCAGAGAAACAGCTCCCCAAGTAGAGAGGGAGACCTGAGGCTTTGTGGGAGGCCTGTGCTCTCCCCTGTCACCACAGACCGAGAGACACCAGGTTTGGGTGGCCCAGGGGATGAATGGCCTTCATGGGGACAGGTCAGCAGGTATAGACCCTAGACAGCCATGTCCCAGATCCCCTGGCCCAACCCCCAGCTATCCCTCCCTTCTGGTCACCGCCCCCCAGTCTTCCTCTTCCCCCATCCTGTGACCTCTCTGGTGACCTCATGCTCTCCCTCTCCCGCAACATCCCCCTGAGAGCTTCTGGCTGTTCCCTCCCCCTTCCTCCCTCCCCAGGCAGCATCCCTCCTTCACCTAGCTGCCTCTTTTCTCTACTTGGAGCCCTGCTTCTCTTCCTCTCCAAGTCCCTTCAACCCTTGCCTGTCCCTTTTGGTTTCCCACGTTTTCCCTCCCTCGTGGTGTCCCCCCAGCTCCTGGGTGTCCCTTCCTTCCATAACCCCCTCCCCCAACCCTTCTCCTAGTGTCCCTCTGGTCTCTTCCCACCTGCCCTCCAGGATCCATAGCCTCTGTCCTGCCCTTTGACCCCCTCCATTGACAAACCAGGACAACAGTAGGAAGGCCACCCCTCTGTCCCACAACTCCCCTTCCCTGGTGGCTCCCACCCCCAACCCCACTTTTCTTTAAGTTTCCAAATCAACCTTCCTCCAATAATAATGATAAAGCAGGAAGCCGGGCCGGAGGACAGTGCAAATTTTTCTTCTTGACACGGAGTTTCCGATTAAAGGCAAAGGGACATAAATCCTCCTGCGTAATTGCTGTGCTCCAGCTCAGAGCCACTTGGAAGGGAGGCTCCCACCCCCTCTGCCCCTGCCTCTGGGAGCCCCACCCCCATCCTGAGCAGGGCTGTGTCCCCAGAGCCTGGGGCTGGGTTGGGAAGGGGTAAGGGAATGGTGTGGCATAAACCTGAGCCCAGCTCCCCGCATTTCCCTTCCAGGGGTCCCAGCCCAGATGGACTGCTACCCGTGGCCACCCCAGGGAGCCCCTCAAGCCTTCACACTGAGAGGATGCCGTATATCTTGGCAAAGCTTCTCAGCAACCATGATCTCAACTGATTCTTTGGAGGACTTTGAGAATGACCAAACAAGTTTCAGATAGAGGGAGGGGGCTGTGAGGACCACCAGAGCAACGCCCCTCTCTCCCCTCACAGGAAGGGCAACAGAGCCTGGGACGGGGGCGGGCTGGTGGCAGGGCAGGGTGGGAACGCTGTCCTGGTCCGGTGGGAGCTTGCCCTCTCACATACAAAGGAGGGCTGACACTTTCCAAAGCCATGAAATTGGGGCCCAAACAGCCCCCACCACCACCTTTCACCCAGCAAAGAAGCTTCTATAAAACTCCAAAATGCTCAATGTTCTTATCCCCCAAGATCAGAGAAAACACTAGAAGTATGTGTGAATTGCTCAAGGTCCAGGGCTCAGGGGTGGAGCCTGGAGTCGCCAAACCTCCCCAGTCCACATCTACATCCACTCTTGCAGTGTCCACACCATCTGCCTTACAGAAAGATGAGCCTCTGGCCACTCTGCTGCTTGAACTCAGCCTGGCCAGGACACCTGCCTCAGCCTTCAAAGTAACCCTCAGTTCCTGTGAGAGCCCCACACTCCCTCCCTCTCTTCTTCCCCAATCCTGCTGCCCACTCTCCCCTCCAGGAGGCCGTCCTGACATGAAGCCCTTGGTTCTGCTTTTCTCTGTTTCTCCCTGCTCTGAACAGCCTCCTCCATGTCCGTGCTCAGGCAGCTGCCAGAGCGACTCTCCTCATTCGTGCACAAGTGGAAGGGGCCTGCATCCCCTTCCTCTGAGCCACCACTGCAGCCCCACCCTGCAGCCCTCTTCACCCTCTCAGACCCAACCAGATCTGCCCAGTGGCTGTGTGTATGTAGATACAGTATATGGCTCCCGTGGTCCTGGGAACCCAGCCGCCTCACCGCCTCTTCTTCGGTGGAAACTGCTGAAGTCCTAGGAGTCCCACATCAGACATAAACGACCATGGCTTCTGGGGTTCCCTGGTCCCCCAGGGGTCTGGAGACCCCTTCCCCAACATCCCAGGTGAAGGAAGCCTTCGGCTAGAACCAAAGGAAGGTCACATCTGCATCCTGCTTTCCCATCTCTGAGTAAAACTGGACCCAAAAGATTCAGGCAGGGCCTCCCAAGGTCTAACTTCTAGGTCTCCTGCTTGCGCTTCTCAGAGATTGTGACAAGGGGGCAGACAACTGGGTCAGTCTAGCAGACCCTGACCGATATCCCCCAAGTTCTCTTCAACCCGCGTCCAGCGCTGTGCACCTGCTTTCCCGCAGGTGAGAGGAGAGGAGAGGAGTCTTCAGGAAGAATATCCTGTCTGGGTCAGGAAAAAAACCAAGAAGGGGAGGGTGGCAGGGTGGGGAATAGTGAGGCCAGCCTGAGGGGCTCAGGTGCCCCTGCAGGGAGCCTGGGTTGAGGTTCCCGGGCCACGGTTGGGGGTGCTGTAGCCCAGCATGGACCAGGTGGTTCTGGGAGTTACTAGAGGGTTTTCAGGGGCTGTAGCTTCTGGATGCTGGTATAGGCTTTTGGGGGATTACAACAGAGTTGCCCTAGGGATTATAGTGGGGTGTTCTGGGCATCATGGTAGAGTTTCTTTTTTTTTTTTTTTTTTAAAGATTTTATTTACTTATTTGACAGAGAGAGAGATCACAAGTAGGCAGAGAGAGAGGAGAAAGCAGGCTCCCGCTGAGCAGAGAGCCCAATGCGGGGCTCGATCCCAGAACCCTGGGAGCACGACCTGAGCCGAAGGTAGATGCTTTAACCCACTGAGCCACCCAGGTGCCCCAATGGTAGAGTTTCTCTGAGATTTCTGTTGGGTTAGTCTAAAAGGCCAGAAGCCTGTGCTTCTAACCTGGGCCCAGTAGGGGAGAGAGCTAAGTCCATAAAAGAAAGCTAAGGGGTGGAGAGGACAGAGGAGGGCCCAGCTCCCAGGAGGGGGGCTGGTAATCTGACACTGCAGGGCATCGGGCCTGCTCCATCTCAACTTGGTATTCCCAAACCCTGACCCACAACCTCATTTGTTGACAGTGAGGGGCTGGGAGCAGAGAGGGGTCCTTGCTCCCCTGGGAGTGACTACAGGAAAGAGATTATGTATGCCCTTGGCTTTCTCTAGGAAGGAAGGACTGGAGAGAGGGCCCTTGATGGCAGGACCGCCCTCCTGGGTGGGTGCCCTCAAGAACAACCAGACTCTGGGCTCCAACCTCAATCCTAGAGCCCTCCCTGGGGGTCACTTAGGCAAGGGAGAATCTGGAGGGGAAAGACATAGACCTTTCTCTCTGGAGACCCCAGTTTTCCAGGATGACAGACCTTCATCCTAGACCCAGACAAATAAATGGAGAATAATCCTTGTGGCTTAATCATGGAAAATTTCCTCAGAGATGGCAGTATGGGGCAAGTAGTGGGCAGACAGGTGGAACGGGAGGGATCCCGAGAAGGAACAGGCCGAGGGCCATTTCAGAGGTGAGTAGGAATAAGGGTGATTTCCAGCCCCCGAGACTGGGAGCAGGGAGAGAAGGCTCACTCACTCTTGTGTCCATCATTCACTCAGCAAATATTTGCAAGAGTAGCCACGAATCAAGTATGGCCAAAGGAGACACAGAGATGAAACAGAGAGGCAGGAACAGCAACTGGAGAGGTTCTCAGAAACTCAGTTCCTCCCCCCAAAATATCAGAGTCCACGTGCGGAGTGTGCCAGGTCTCTGCTAGGGAAGCACCCACCTCTAGGCCTCTCTAATCCCAAAGAAATCCATGATCCATCATTCTTGCTTCCTTCTTCCCCAGGGTCCCATACCCTGCCCCAGCCCTTGCCCTGGGGCTCCTGCCTCTCAACTCTGCCATGCTCTCTCCCTCTGGGCAGACTTGGGAGCATGT